TAAAACCATTCCCGAGGCCAACTCTTCAGTCAAAGATTAGACTGGACTATGGGACATAAAATGATACTTGTGAAGAGTGTGCTTCTTAGCTCAAGTAGATACATGAGACTAAATGGGCAGCTCCTGTCTGGAGGTGAGATGAGAAGGCAGGTCAGGAGCTGGTTGAATGGACATGAGAAATCAGGGGTGGAAAGGAGAAATGTACTGTCACAGTACAGGGACAGCAATTAGGGTCACGTAACAATGTATGCATAAATTTTTGTATGAGAGACTAACTTGAATTGTAAACTTTCACTTAAACAATACACTTAAAAAAAAAAAAAATCTGCTTTCCCAAAAGAATACCTGGTACAGTAGGTGCTCAAAAGGTTTGCTGACAGAACTGGGTCCCCATCAAAACTTCTTGCTTTGTCAGGAGCCCCATAACTGTTTTCCCATAGTCTGTCTCTCACTAGGCCATACGGGGCTTCTTGTAGGGGCACTGGCTATGGCAGTGCCTTCATTTAGGGCCCTTAGAGGTCCCAGCCGTGCCCTCGTTGTGGCCGCTGCACAAAGGCCACTATGGCAGAAAGCCCACCAAGACCAATGTTGGGCTGGTCTCTCAGAAAACACAGCATTTGCTTTGCCAGATGCTTCTCCTGTCTGAAAGTGGATCTAGTCAACAGTGTGAGTCTCAGATCTTCTGTGGAGTGGGACCCTCTGGCCACAACGCCTTCTCCCTGCCTCTGGCAGATTTGAAGAATGGTCCATAAAAATTCCTGGCTTCTACGTTCTCTACGCTCTGGGTCTAAAAAGGCCCAGTATGTGGCTTTTCCAGCAATCAACATGCTGGTCTTGTCGGCTCTACCTCTCCTCTCCTCAAGAGCTGGGGTCTGTCCTTCCCTTTTCTGGCTGTTGGGAGCTTGAAGGCCATGGACACAGGTGAATAAGAGAATAACTGTAGAGCGAGGGCCTTTCTGCTCCAGAGGTCAGGCCCATGAAGCAAAAGTGTGACTCATGGGATGACCTGAGCTGATGAGCTGTCTGGTAGACAGCTGGGGCCTCTAGTGGCTACATAAATCACTCATCTTGGGTTCTAGGCCAGCTATGCAGGCTGACTCACTGGGAGACCCTGGAAAAGCTTCTAAGTACCCCCTCCCTGCTGCTCTGCTCACTCATCTATTAAGTATGGGTTTCCCATCAATACAGGAATTGGGGGCAGGGAGCTCAAGGAGTTAATTCTCCATGGGCTTGAGGGAAAACTATGCATTTAAACAGTCCTCACTCTGGAGTTTTCTCCTAGAAGCTTTGGTGCCAGGGAGCCCTGGGGAACCAGAAAGGTGAGGTACTAAAGTAGGGGAACCCTGCTTGACTATGGATAGCAACCAGTGGGAAGAGGCTTGAGGGATGTCTGTGGAATGCTGCCTGGAGCCTAGACCTGCTAGAAACCAGAAGTGTGAACCCTAGGGCTCAAAGTGGGTACAGAAGGGGGCTATAGCGACTGGCTGCCACCACACCCCATGCTGGTATCTTACAGGACTGTATATGCAGTGATTGCACCTGGCCCACAGGAGGCAATCAAATGTCTAGTGAAGGTAGGAGACTGCTCAGTACCTTTTCCTCTTCTGCTAGTCCCATTCCTAACTTCTCTGGCTGAGCTCATGGTTGTACACACAGAAGGTGCTCTTCATCAGTGTCTGCTGCTGATGTGATTTGATCACAATTCCCTCAGAAAGGCCTCTGGTAACTCAGCCTCCCATAATCCTCTGAAAGCCCAGCATCCACAGACTGAGGGATGACCCACTTTCCATGAGACTCTGGATAAGAGAGAAGGGCTGCTCACCTGTTTCCTCACATATTCCACCAGTAATTCAAGCTGTCGAGGGTCTTCACATTTCTGGTTGAAGAAGGTTCTCCAAAGGGCAGCAGCCAGCCCATGATCATCTGAAAGAATCCCCTGGAATACAGAGTACACTCTGTCTTTCCAGGAGCCTCACAGAACCATGATACAAAAGCTGGGGATATTGTAAACAGACTAGCATACCACAGAATCAGCTCAGGACCTTACAGAGAGTGTGAGGTAGAAATGGGGCAGCTAAATAGTAGAGCTGGAAAGGGTCTGAGGAGAGAATCTAGTCTAATCCCTTCATTTTATACAGAGGAAGACCAGGGGACCCAGAGAGTGACTTGCTGAGGTTGATGCATAGCTGGGACTCGTGTCTGGCCAACCTTCCCAGCTCACAGTTCCATCTGCTCTACCACACAATGTACCTGGTCCAGGCAATGCTTAAGTGGCCAAGAAGAGAAATGGTAGCAGCAGTATTTCCACTGCTGTTGACAAAGCATGGGCTGGGGTGTATTTGTGTGTGTATCTGTTTTTCTTCCTAGTAATTGAGATGGGCATGGACTGAGCCTTCTCTCCTGGTCCAAGGGCAAACATCTGCAAGGCAGCTGGCTCTTTGGGGAAGGGAGCCAGGTACCTTGTCCTCACTGTCACCCAGCTCTGGCCTAGCCATGGCTGGCCCAATCTCTCTCCCTTTTCTTCCCCTCCCCTTAAGCAGAGGAAAAGGTTGTTCAGCAGGACTGCCATGGGCCACAGAGGGCAATGCCCAGAGTCTGTGTGTGTGTGTGCCTAGCACTGTCTCTCTTGGTACAAAGGAAACCTTTGTTGGGAAGCCCAACCATCAACCAGAAGTTAACTGAAGCCTGGGACCATGTGCTAGGGCCATTTTCTAGCTCAGACTTCTAGTAGAGGGAGGGGAGAGGGTCTTGTTTCCTAAGGCAGGGGTGAAGGAAAAGGCCCTGAGAAGTTGCTCTGTCCAAGCGGCCAAGGTAGTGTGTAGAACCAGAAAAATGGCTGACTTTGAGTAAGAAGTCTGGGTAAAGTCCTAACTCTGCCACTTTCAAGCTCAGTTATGGTGGGCAGTACACTAAACCCGAGTCTCAATCTCCTCACCTATTAAAAGAGATGAAAATACTTGTCCTGTTTACAACATTCTTGAATTATAAAAAGAAGATGATGTAAGGGCATTTTGTTAAGATTAATATGTTAGATACAAAGATTAGGATTATGCTTTGGCAGGCAGTCGTGGGTGTAGCTGAAAGAACAGTGGGATCTGGTAGTCCGACCACCTGAGTTCAAATACCAGCCGTCATTTAATGGCTGTGTGGACTCTGGAAGGCCATTAACCTTCCTTTAGCCTCAGTTTATATTCCACAGAGTTGCTGTGAGAATTCAGAGCTAATGGCCACAAAAGGGCTCTGTAAACAGTAAATCATTACACAAGGACCCAGGATCATTTATGCGATGTTACATTGTGGGTTGCCCTCTGGGGTATCATGGTGCGTGAGGTCTGGCCCAGGCCTCCTGCCAGGAAGGGCCCTGTGCAGTATGGAGTGCTGCCAGTTTGGTGGGAAAACATTCCACCTGTTCCAAATGCCAGTGATAAACATCCCTACAATTCCACAGCTTAAGAGACTGTCCTGGCACAACTGCTGAGTCAGGAAAACCAGCTTCTTCCGGTAGATGGGGACAGGTGCCAAAGACAAGCTCAGGCACATCACCACTCTCCAAGCTATTTGCTAACACAACAGCCTGCCTGTGTCTAAAATGCCCTGAGTACATGCTGGAGTGCTGCTGGCAGCAACCAACATGTGCTACATGGGAAGGGATGGGAGGGGAAGCAGGTGGCACAGGAACTTGGGGTAATGAGGGCAAGGCCCAGGAAGGCAAAACCTGGGAGCCATGGCCTGCTGTGGTGGGTGAGATGTCTAGGAAGGGGCAAATCTATAACCAGGAATTCCTGAGCACTGAGAAAGAGAAGGATGACTCAGGACTTAGAGTAAGAGTGATAACAACCTTATTGTTCCAGACTGTCAGAGTTCCTTCACACACATACCTCATAATGACTATGTACGCCAAGTAAAGCAGATATTATTATCCCCATTTGAAAGATAAGTAAACTGAGGCTTAGGGTTTATGTAGCTAATTGGTAATAGAGCTAGGACCAGAATGCACTGGGAGGGTCAGGGAATGGTATCTGACTCTCTAGTCATAACACAGTACCTGGCAGAGTGGAAGTGCAATAAAAACAGCTGAGTGAGCAAATGAACCCAACTCCAGCCTTCTTTCCACCATACTGCTAGCAAGTCAATGAAAACAAGTGGGAGACTGATCTGACAGTATCAGCTGTAACTAAGGAAGCAGGAAAAGAAAAAGCCAAACACTGAGGTTGCATAGCAATTTTTCCACAATGTAACACAGTGCCTACTTGTTTTCCGTCATGATACAAAGAAAGGATCCTGCAGGGAATTAAGACACCTAGGTCTAGAATAGCTGAGAGGAAACTACAGGGATTGTCCCGGCCCTAGAGGCTCTGGTTATGGTTCAGAGTTAAGAGTGGCAGGGTCTCACACAGCAAAGATTTGATTTGATACCACTATGTGCATTCAATAACACCTGCTGGCTGGCTGGCTGGCTGGCTGGATGTTGAAATTCAGAGGAAAAAACACAAGAGGTCTAGAGAGGTCAGGGAAAGATTTGTAGGAAAGTAGGCCTTTAAGGATGGGAAGGATTCAAGGAGCTACAGGACATTCTAGACAAAAGAGAATATTATTATTTCACTGAACATTTATAGGAGTGTCTACAAAGTACCAGGCCCAGAACTAGGCCCTAAGGTATAAAGTCGACAAAGACTCAACTACTACCCTCAATACCACATTGTCCAGTTGTGCCTCAACTGGCACAGCATTTCTGTGGGGCAGTGAGGCAAATGGCCAGCCCCATTTGGGGAGAAGGCTACACATTAGAAGGCAATGGGAGACAAAGGTAGACAGGGCATGTCCCAGTGGGAATGAGAACAGTCCACAGAAAGCCTGAAAGTTCCATGGAGGAATTTGGACCTAATGTAGAAGAAAACAGGAACGTTCCAAAAGTGGCAAGGAGGGAGGCACAATCCAGGCAAGATTCTAGGAAAAGGTTGCTGTAGAATAGTGCTGTCGAACAGAACTTTCTGTGATGATGAAAATGTTCTATATCTGCACTGTCCAATACAGTAGCCACTAGCCACATATGATTATCGAGTACCTGGCTAGTGACTGAAGAACTGACTTTTTACTTTTATGCAATTAATTTAAATCAAAATAGCCAGACGTGGTTAGTACTGGAAAGCACAGCTCTAGGATCTTGTCACTTAAAGTGTGGTCTGCAGAAAGGCAGCATTCCACATCACCTGAAGCTTTTTAGCAATGCAGAATTGTCAGGCCCTACCCCAGACTTGCTAAATCAGAATCTGCATTTTCACTAGATCTCTAGGTGATTTGCATGCAACTTAAAATTTAACGTTCAAGAATTGCACATTAAAATCACCTGGGGAACTTCTACAACTATAGATGCCCACTTATACCAGTTAAATCAGAATCTTTGAGGAAAAGGGCCCAGACAGAGATATTTTTTAAATATGTCCCAGGTAATCAGAATATGTCCCAAACATTCTGCTCTTAAGTCACCTGGGGTACTTGTTGAAATACTAGGCTCTGCTCCTAGTATTGGATTCAGACAGGTGTTCAAGATTTAAAAAGCATCCCAGGTGACTCTTTTGAGCAGGTATGTTTGGGTGAGATGCTCGTGATAGACTGGGATGAAGGATGGAGAGAACAGCCAAAATTCAGAACATCTCTATTAACACTGATGAAAAGATTCAACTGAGTCAACCAAGGCACCTTCAGTGAAGACCTCCAAACAAATGCTAATAGAAAAGAATACTTTGATTCTAAGCCTCATTCTTTTATACACTGTAATGTTTCTGACGTCAGACTCATCCAATTTAACAACTGATGTGTACATTTAAGCAGTGTTTCTAACCCCCAATCCACCCCAAAAAAGCTCATATTAAATTTATGGTGTGTGTGGTATGCAATCTAAATTGGTCTCTTATAATTAGGGATTGGGGTATCAGGAAATCAGGAGATCCCAATTTCAACTAGTCCCGTGACCCTAAGAAAGTCATACAATTTTTTTTTTTTTGGGGGGGGGGAAGCTTGTTTCTTGGCTTTAATTATTATTTTCAGGCTGATAACATTTCCTCCAGCCTGAACTCTAGTTTCTTGCTTTCATTTCTTCATGCACGTGGCAGGAGAGATGATGCTTGCATTAAATCTGGAGGTAACCACAAAATGAGTATAAAAGGACATGGTTGGTAAAAAGATGAGGTATAATGAATCTTGGTGGTGGGTATACAGGAGTTCATTACACCATTCTTTTAACTTTTCTATATGTTGAAAAAGCAAGCTTCAAAATACTGTGTAGAGTAACTCCCACTTGCATAAAGAAAATAAAACATTCATCCATATGTATAGGTGCTTGTCTACGCATGATAATGTCTGGAAGGATACTTGATAAACTATTAACAGAGTTTTCCTCTTAGGCAGGGAATTGGGCAAAATGCGGCAGTGGCCTTTTATTTTCTACTTCAACCACTTAAGTACATTTTACAAATTTTTTAAATGAGAAAGTATTGCTTTAATAATTAAAGAGGAAAAAAAGTGCGTAGTTTGGCAGACTGTGCTGTTTACGTGTTTGTCTTCTTTCTGGGCGCATCTGGGGCTGGCACAGAGACTGACTTGCCTTTGTCCCCCCATCCATCACTGGCTGGCTAGTGATCTGACTATATTATGTAGTGCTTTCTTTCCTAAGCATTAGGCTAACTGCTGCGCATTCATTCTAGTTGCCCAGTCAGTCAGGATAATGAGGAAATAAATATGGAGCCAAAATGGCAGGCAGTGAGGATGGTCCCTGAAGCTTCCCTCAGAGGCTCTCATCAGAAGCCTTTGTTGGAGGAAGCCACTGTTCTGCCTAACCTTGGCAAATGATCTTACCTCATCATATCCCAAGATTGCAGCATAGAAACTATCTGTCATGAGGACCATGTTCTTCTTCAGGATATAGGGATTAACCTATGGAAAGAAAATGGCAAAAACAAAAGTATGAAAAAAACGACAAAACCAAAAAGCTGATTTTTGGCTTAGTTGTCATAGACTCTTAACAGAACAAAGAGCTCAGAGACGGCCACTAACAAGTCAAACTGCCAATTCATTCCTGACTCTGTTATCTGTCAGGATTCACCCCGATCTGCCAGCTTCTTTTAGGTTTGATCCCAAATTACACAAAGCAGTCATTCAGTTTAATAAACTGAGTCCCAACTATGTATCCCCCAACACCCCGCAGGGGCTCTGACAGGCATGCTGATGACTGAATCCTGACAAGGGTGAGAGTGTCACACACGGCATCTTCAATCCAATAACACGGGGTCTTTGGGTTTTTTGCTGCTGATCAACTTCCATGTTTCTGAAATTTCAGATAGATAACTACCAAGCTTCTACTGCATCGTTTTCCAGAATGGGCTTGGGTGAGAGGAGGAGTCAAGGAACAGGCCACAGCTAGAGTTAACTCCTCTGAAATGTGAGGATAGGACTATAACTCAGACCTCCTGATACCCATTGAGGGTCTCTCCCTACCTTCATACTAGCTGTTCTTCTAATTATATAAGAAGAACGAGAGCCATAAAAGGACAATGCCAGAGGTGTCAAACGCTAAGGTAGGAGCATCTCTCAAAGGCAAACATTCATTGGACCTGCTCAACCGAGCTAGTTTGTGTGTTGCATCAAGCCACTAAGCATTAGAGCTGGAAGGGCCCTCAGAGATCACCTCAATCCCCTTGAGAAAATAGTAAACTGAGACTCAGAAAGAGGCTCGTCCAAGGTCACACAAGTTAGTGTTAGAGCCAGGATTACAGGATTAGAACGCGTTTTCTGGGTGAGGACTTTTTCTACTTTACCATCTGTAGGGGACTTCTGGAGATCACCAACACATTAGCCTGCAAACCTCAGTTGTTGCTTTTCAGGAAGGACCATGTACATACATCCTCTTGGGATGCCTCCTCATTCTGACTGGCTATTGCCCAGAAAGAATAGAGAGCAGTGGTGGAGTTCCTTATCAGCAAGGCTCCTATTATCTCCTGGTACTGTATTCTAACTCCAGTGACCTATAAACTGCCTCCCCTTCACCTTTAGCTGAGGGATGACAAGCTGCCATAGCTAGGAATGGTTTTTAGATATCATCACCCAGGCTGGATTAGATCATGAAATGGCCCTTCCTGGAAGTGAGTGGAAGCTCCATCAGTGCAGATACATGATCTGCAGGCAACAGGTGAAGAACAGCTTCCTGAACTACTGGACTAAGCACCCTGGCCTTTCTGGCCAGCCCAGCAGCCAAGGGGAGGAGAATATTTCCTCTGGTGAACCCTTGTTGGGATTTTATTACCTCACTTAAGCTTTCGTTGGTTGGTTTGCAGGTTCCTTGTGCCCCCACTGCCAGATCATTCTATATGGAGCACTCTGCCCATGACCCATACACCAGATGAGAAACTCCTTCTAGACTGTGTTGGGCTGTTTTCTTACTAAACTCTTCTCCTTTCCATAATGCTTTGCTTTTTATGAAAACCCATACATAAAGCACCACCACAAGGAAGAAGTTCCTTTTATACCAGTTACTCATATTTTCCCATTTATTTAAGCTATTAAAATTCATGCAGATATTTTATAAGCCATCAGGATTTGGTGACTGGTATTACTGAATGTTTAATAATAAGGTAAACAGAAGAAATCAGAGGGTTAAATGATGACTGCAATTCCTGTAATGACTTAATTAAATTTTTATTGAGTACATAAACTATGATGTCATTTCTAACCAACCATGGGTCTGCTTTCCCGGCTTGTCACAGGGTGGGAGCACTCAAGAGGAGGCTAGGCTAAATGAGCAGCAGGTCTCAGCTGAAATGGGAGGGGAGCAAGGCTCATGTAACACACTCAATAAATTATCCGTTCATTTCTAAACAAAGTCCATGAGTTATAATATATTTGCCATGCACTTTTTATGACATAATAAAAATGTTACCTTAAGGATTACTTAACACATACTACAAATGTTATAGCAGAGGCAGGCACAAGGGGCAAAGAAAACAAACATGAGCAGGCCAGGGACAGGTCCTGGAGTTTACATCCCAAGGGGAACAGCATAATATATTAAAAACCAAACCAAACCTACTGCCATGGAGTCGATTCTGACTCATAGGGACCCTATAGGACAGAGTAGAACTGCCCCATAGGTTTTCCAAGGCTGTAAATCTTTATGGAAGCAGACTGCCACATCTTTCTCCCGCGGAGCAGCTGGTGGGTTCGAACTGCCGACCTTTCGGATAGCAGCCAACCACTTTCACCACTGTGCCACTAGGGCTTCTTAGATATTAAAAAGGGAATGCAAAAAAGGGGGGGGGGGACGCAAGGGTTCAGGGTTACGAATCAGCAGATTAATGAATGAGACAACTAACAGGAAACACAAGTAAAGCAATAATGAATCTTCAAGGCACATTCTTAATTAATGTATTATTTTTGAGGAGAGATGGCAGTTCATCTGAGACCAGTTGACTGCCCTCTTTCCCTTTTTTGTTCCTGCTGCTCTTAAAGACATTTATGTGACTGCTTGACAGAGGAACCAGATGATGTGGATAGAGGACTGATGCAGGATCAAGTTTAAACTGTGAGCTCTACACGGTTCTTTGTGATCTGTTCTTGGTCATCTTTCCTGCCTCTTCACCTCCTCCCATCTCCAGACTTTTGTCTCACTCTCCAGTCAGAGTAAACTATGTGCAATTTCCATAAATATGTCATGCTTTCTTAGACATACTGCTGCAGGGAATCCATCTCCCTTCTCTATCTACTGGGGGACTAACTCCTATCCTCCAAGATTAGCTCATAAATTACATCCTCTATGAAGCCTCCCATCTCCCCAGTCTATATGTACCACAGAAGTGATTCAAGTCAAGAAACAGTTCTCATAATTCAGTGTTTACCATGTGCCAAGAACTGTGCTAAGAGCTTTATACACATTAGTTCATTCAATCCTTCCCAAAAATCCTGATATAGGTACTGTTATTATCCCCACTTAGGAAAAGAGGAAACTGATTTTTGGGGAGGTTAAGGTTACACAGGTAGGAAATAGTGGGGTCAAGATCAGAATATAAACTGCAAGTCCAATACTTCAACTCCTATGTTGAAGTAAACACCCTAAATAATGTGGCTGTCCCTTCCTGTGCCCTACACCTCAGGTTATCTGTAGAGGCAGGGCTAAGAAGTGTTGATGAGGTCTTGGGTAAACACAACTGAGATTTCCAATTCCAATGGTAGCTGGAGATGGGCCACCAGATGGGTTATCAGTGGCCAGTGACTAAAACATCAGACAACCCTAGTGTAGCTAAGCCCCACTTCTGTGCAAACTGGAAGAAAACTGGCTCCCTGGTGTAATTATGGTGGGGGAAGGGAGAAGAGAAGAATGTTGGTATGGACAAAGAAAGAACTGATCAGCAGGAAGGTTAAGAATAAGCTTTAGAGATACTCGCTTGAGGCAAGGTTGCTAACAGTAGCAGGCTGGCAACAATTTGTTGGAACGAATGAATGACAAAGGGTGCCTATAGTTGCTGACTAAAGAATAAAGTATATATCAAATTCATATAAGGTAACAATGCCGTGCAAAGGATTGCTAGAGTGTCAACACCATGCATTATAGTCATTGTGCGGCAACAGGCTGATGTACACAGAACATCAGCCAGTCTATTTAAATTTTCTGTGGGGAAGGTGAGGAGAAGGCATTTTAATTATTTATTTTTTATTATGCTTTAGGTGAATATTTACAGAGCAAATGAGTTTCTTATTAAACAATTAATACACACATTGTTTTGTGACACTGGTTGCCAACCCTGCAACATGTCAACACTCTCCCCTTCTCGACCTTGGGTTCCCCATTTTCATTCGTCCAGCTTTCCTGTTCCCTCCTGCCTTCTCTTCCTTACCCCTGGGCTGGTGTGCCCATTTAGTCTCGTATACATGGTTGAGCTACGTGTGTTGTTTGTTTCATGGACCTGTCTAATCTTTGGCTGAAGAGTGAACCTCAGAAGTGACTTCAGTACTGAGTTAAAAGGGTGTCTGGGGCAGTCTATCTAAATTTAATGTTAGAAACAAGCCGACTGTGGAATACTTATGTGAGATATAAAGAAAGAGAGTGAGAGGAGATAGAGTGGGGGATGTGTAGAGAGTAAATACCCGTGTGCAAGTAACTCACTTACTATATTATGGCTAAAAGATCTCCTGAGGGTCTTTTAGCAATGACCACAAAATACAAACAAAACTCTAACTATGTGGGTGTGTATTAGGCAAGTCCAGAGAAAATTGTGTTAATGCCAAGAAAGAAAAGGAAAAATAATAAAACATGAAAAGATGGACAATTTCAATTCTATCTTCCCTTTTTAGAAAATGAAGTGACTATTTGAGGAAAGCATATTCCAGTTGTAATGAAAGACCGACCTAAATGAGGGATGAGATAATCCTTAAATCTCATTTTACTGAAATTATTTCAAACTTTTAATGCACCAGAGAAGCTTGCTATATGATTAAATCCTTTTTTTAAAAAAAAAAATCCCTTTTTATTACTTATTTTGAAAATCCCAGTTTTATTGCTTGGGATGTGCGTATTCAAAATCTGCACAGCCTGGTAATGTCCTGGAAAACAAGGTACATGGATGGCAGGCAGAACTGCACAACAGGTAGCCTTCACTTCTGAATGGCCAATAAATACAGGAGCCTTTTCCTCAGGCTGGAAGATAGCAAATCGAGAGACAAAGGATGGCTGTCTGTGGAAGTGACAGTCATTTATCCACTTGACTAGACATTCAAACACATCAATAAATTCATAATCTCCTTTAAAAGCAGCTGATGAGGCACATTAAGGTCCTATGAAGATCAAACTGTCACACCACTTTAACTTTCTTCTGTGTCAGGACACACAGATTAGAGGAATGTAACAGCTATAATCTACTTTGGTTTCTGGAAGCTTTTCATTGTAT